GGACATTCACACAATAATGACAAAGCTTAATGATGCCTTTCTGGGAATGTTTTCCCATTAATAAACAAAACATGACAATACTTTACTATATTGAAAATATACAACTATCAAGTTTCCACTGGGAAAGGKAACCTAAATTGGAAGAGTTGATTATATAGGTGAAAAAAAAGCATAGAAATATTTTGTTTGATGTCTGACATTTCTGTGTTACAAGGCATGAAAATGGGATAATTTCCATTATTAGTAATATTAGTTTCCAAACTACTTATGAGAAAATGACATAGCACTGCTTGAAATTCTACCAAAAAAGCATAACTGAAATCATTTTTTAAATGTTAGGCACTAGCAGTATATACAAATATTTAATGTAATTAATGCCATAATTTAAATACTTTCATTTCCATCATAAACACAGAAGTATAAAAATGTGTTTCAATCGTTCAGATTGTATTTTTATTAAACACACATATATACAAAAAAAAGGAACAGATCAAAAAATAATGACTTCTCATTTCAAAACATCCCTGACTTCCATTCAGAAATTCTCCATCAGGCAAGCAGAAACTTTGTTCCTGAAGTAAAGCAGCATGGTTGGGAATGGGGAAGGCGATGCCCATTTGCATTTCCGGGCCCTTATCCACACAAGAGTCCCATGCCAGAAAGGACTCCCATTTTGCAGAGTATGCTGCCCAACCAAGCCTTTATTTGAGAAAGCAGGGGAGCATCTCTCCATAGGTTAATTGAAACTTTAGGTATGACACTAATAAGAAGTTAAGGAGCTGGACTCTGGAAGACATTTCTAAAAAAGCTTTCTTTGGTAAACATTAGACAGAGTAGTATTGAATTAGAATGAAAGAAAAAAACACAAAACATGTCTCAAAATGTTTCTGTAAAAGAGTAGATGATATAAAAGAGGAAGTTATTATATAGCTTAGCAACCTCTGAGCATATTTCTATTCCCTCAGTTCCTAAACTATTGTATGGCAATTTTCAGTCTTGTCCATGGATCATCAGATCAATGACAATCTCAAAATTTTACCAGTGGTATTTGAATCTGAAATTTAAATGTTTCTGAGCAGGAGAATTTGTGAGTTAGGAAAAGAGCTAACTTTAAAGAACTGTCAAACTTATCAGAATTATCCTAGGAAAATCATAAGATTCTACCTGCACTCTTCAAGTCACTTGTCGTCAGTGCTTTAATTTGTAAAACATAATCAAATAGCATGCAATTAGGAACACTGCATCAAATCACAATCTCTGCAATACTCCATAATTATAATAAAATGTTTTTTATTCAGTCTATTCTACACTCATGACCTTTTTAAAATAAATCTGTACATCTGAAAATGTTTAGTAATTGTGCAGTAAAGATCAACTGATCATTCTTAATTGAGTTTCAAATGTGCTGCTTCACACAGCTGCACACACATGTGTATTAACCTAATTGTTAGTTGCACCTGTTCCAAGTTAGCAATATTTCATAAAGCACATGGCAAATATGACATTTTCAAGTGTTAATCTGTTGAATGTAAATCTAGACTTTCTTTCAATAGTTTATGACACATACGCTTTGTTCCACATAGGAGTCTGATGTACAAAAATGTGGGCGATTTTGAGCTTCCTTACTTGAAAACAAAGCTGTCTTTTCAATCTAAAATAAGTTATGTTCTTCCATATTATAATTGAGTGATTTTTTTTTCACTGAGAACTAGCAGAGTAATTTTTTTCAACATTTATATAAAGTACTCTTTGAGTCAACCAAACATTGGGGGAAAAAAAAAAGCTAAACTATTTCACAAGCTGCTGAAAGTTGTAAATAAGAAGTTAAACTGTTCTCGTCCTATACTTCAAATCCACTGCTGCAAATGCAGTGATGATTTTTGTTACTATCAGAAATCTTCAGTTTCTGAGCATTAAGGACAGCAATGATAAAAAGAAAATTACCTTCTTGAGATTATGAGCTTAAACTCTGGATTCTGCACATGGAGCAAATCTGTTTCCAGAGATCGCACCCCTTTTTGTAGAAATCACCCTAAAATCTGAAGCTGGCATAACTATACAGCTCAAAGATTTTAATTTGTGATATATAGGCACAGTTTTTCATAAGATGCAAGCTTATTTTTTAACTTTTATGGTATGGAGTTCCAATTTCTTGTGTTATCAAACATTTCTTGTAGTTTGTCAAACATTAAATTAAAAGCACATTTTAATAGAATTAAAAATCAAAGACATAAAATCTTGATTGATGAATTTCTGTGGATCATTTGTCTCTGTACTTCACTTGTTAAATGGTCAGAACTCTTTGTCTGCACTAAAGTAATCTGATGAATGAGGCCCCTATCTCCATAATGCAAAAGTTGCATCTTACTTTTCTAAGGTTACTTGCAAACTGATGTACATATACATATTAAATTGATGGTACATATAATTTGTTATTTAATTTTAATTAAAAAACAAATATTCTGCTTTCAGGACTTGAGACTAATGCTTTCAAAACATTAAAAAAAATTTTATCTGAAACTATGTTTCTCCTTCAATTAATTTTGAAAAACCAGTTTTTTTTCTGTACAGCTACAAAAGAAAGATGCCCAAATATTACAAAAACACACACTAGACACTTCAGCAGTGAAAAAAACTGAGTGAACTTTTGTTTCAGTCAATGGGACACTAGTCATAAGTCAGTGAACAAAACTGATATATTTTGAGGAATGATTTTTACTCAAATAGCTTAAAGATGCACAAAGTTTACAATAGTCTATAAAGAATAAAAAAAAACATGTACTTCCACCTATTCTTTTATTGCAGTGCTTTAAAAAATGATTTTCAAAAGAACTATTTTGCTCAAAATTAAATAATATGTTTTTAAGAAGCAGCAATTAGCAAGGACCCTGAAGTCCTTTAAGGTTTGATCACTTCACCTTATCAAAATAAATGGATTTTCTTTGTTCTTTGCTTTTTTTTTTCCTGCATCTGCATTAACATGGCTGCTAATTATATTAGCCTGGTGGCACCTAAAGTGTGAATAGGAAAAATCACATGGTTCTTATAAAACATAAAATACTCCTTATGATTCAAATGTATGCTTGCTTCAAATGAACGTACCTGTACTAGTGCTACCTCTATTCTGTTAGTAAACTTAGCTATGGTTCAGAATTTGTTTTAAAGTGATTTTGCACTTGTCCAATACACCACTGCATGTATCCAAGTACACAGGCACTCATACACACACACATGCACAAAGAAATCTCCAGCTTTATCATGCTGCTTTGGGTATTTAGCTTCTACATTCGTTTATTTATGTGTTTTTTTCCTAAAATTGTTCAAGTTCTTGAGAACTTTGTGTTCACCATGCAAAATGTCACCTGATCTAGGTACATACACTTACCTACTACAGTAATAAAGCCGCAGGACATTAAATGCTTAAAAGTTATATCACATTTTCAAATTGAAAAGAGCATAAGATGCTCTACCCACTCACTTGTTCTGTTTTATGCTTTTATGAATCAGTAAAATCTTATCTGAATCATATATAAAAATAAGAATGTTTTGAAAATGTTTATACAATCTGGTATATTTGGCCTGTATGGGTAGTTTAACAAAGTAAACTTCATTGTACTAGTAGACATTCATTAAGAGCAAAATTTCATTTTTACAAAACTAATATGAATCTGTGGTAGAGAAAAATAAATTGATTTATACATCATTGAGAAAAATATAACATTCTTAAAATTATATTTATAGTCCCATTTTCACAGGTCAAAGTAGACATCATCAGCTAACTTTCCTGGAAAAGAAAAACAGCCTGATCCAATCCATTACAAATATACCTCTTCAGCTAAATATTAAACAGAACAATAACAAACACTCGGGGATTTCAAAATGAATGATAAACATTGGGGAAAAAAAACTTCAGAAGTTCTTCTATCAGTTTTAACTGCACATCCTGGATCTTTCAAACACTTTTTACTGATTGGACTTGAAAACATCTCCTCCTGTCTTTCAGTCCTTTCAGCCTTTATGAAACAACTGTTGGAAATGTGGGTGAATATTCACATTAATTTATACTTTGTAAGGAAAGCTATTGATGATGCGTAAGCAAGAACCTCCTACCTCAAATTAACCACTTAAAGGTGGTATAATTTTCACCTCTACACTGTCTCCCCAGCCCCTCCTTCCATCACCCTTAGGGAACTGAAATTCAGAGACATGACGTTTTCCATTATTGGTTCTTTGCCTCTGCAACTGTATGACATTCCTCAAAAAGTACATATAATTCTCCATCCTATGGGATCAGACAACAGTAGCTATTTCAGGAGCAGTATCATACATAATGTAAGACAGAATATTTTTTCTTGGAATTGTTTGTAATAATTGTGATTTAAATGTTACTGGTTCAGTCAATGGCAATGGTGTTGCTGAGTTCATCAAAGTCGTTCTCTTCAATCTACATACTTTTAAAACTCAATGTGGCTTCTAGATCAAACTGATGTAAGAATACTATTTAGCGAAAATAGTGGGTTTTCAGAGCATTGTGATTCTAAGACAACATATTCCTCGAAAAATAACACATATCAATGAAGAAACAAAGACACTGTAAAATTAATACATAGAGGAAAAGTCAGAAATTCTATATTTCTCTGTTTAACACCTGTATATTAAAATGTATGTGATAATCACGTTGTTATATTAATAGGAATGCAAAGCATAAAAGAACAAGAGCTACATCTTGCTTTGCTTAAAGAAATTAAAGACAACAAGTTTAACCCGCACCTGCCAAACTGTCTTTGGAGGGACAGAAATAGGTGGGGGCGGAAAGGATCACCTCTCCTGTACCCTACAGTGCGTCTCCCTGAAATCATTTTAAATGTAGGCAATATATCTGTCACCTTCTCTCTTTAAATTTTTCTTCCACTCTAATCAATGGCAGACCCTTTACTGCACTCCCCTGCCCACTATCTCAAAGGCACATTACAGAATAAGAGGACCCAAGTGTCACTTACCAGTTGCATGCCACAGATAAAGATAAGCGTGCACCTGCCACTGCAATAACCCATGGTTTCCGAGACCCCTGCCACAGCCAGACTGTCCCACGTCGGCCACCGTCGAGCCCCCACTTTATCCAATCAGATCGCGGGGAAGGACAGGCAAACCTGCCGAGGGCTCGGGGGCTCCGGGCTGCCACTGCCAACGTCCTGGGAAGTGACAGGCATTAGGACCTGCTGGCGCGGCGGCGGCGGCGGCGGCAGCAGCTCCAGCCGCGCCCGCCACACATACCTTCACTCGCTGGGTGCACACGCCGCGYCGCGGGCAGCACCGCCTGCGGAGACGCGCCCTGGGCCCGCAGGGGCAGCAGCGGCAGCCTGGCAGCGCCGCCGCGCCCTCGGGCATCTGGCCCCCGAAGTTTCGCCCCCGCAGCTCGCCGTGCCGGCTCGCCCCACGCCCCCAGCGCGGCCGCCGCCCGACGCGCGCTCGCCCCACACTCTCGGCGCGCCGGCTCCGGGGGCGGCTGAAGCGCGCGCGGGGCGCTGCCCGCCTCCCTGCGCCGCCCGCGGCTCCTCTGCGCCCGGCGTTGCGGGGCCCGGCGGGCGGGGGTGGGGCGCGGTCGGGRCGGGGGTGGCCGGGCTCCGCGGTCCCCGGCGGCAGCAACCGCGGCGTTGCAGAGCTCAGTGATGCCGGGTTCGCGCCGCGTCCCTGCAGCGGAGCTGCCCCTCCCCTCGCCCAGATGTGTTAATCCTCTTCCTCCAACAAATCCTTCAACCTGCGCCCCGCCGCCCCCTCCCAAGTCGTTAACTTCTCCAAGATCTGCCAGGGTTGCAGACCGGGCGGCTGCTGGCGTGGTGTCTAGGCGGGAAGAGCAGCGGCTTCGGCGGTGGTAGCCGTGGGCACCACGGGGGCTCAGGACGAGGAGTCTGGGTGGCATGACCGTGTCTTGCTTGGCTGGTGTAGGTCTTGCTCCCACAGCCGAGCCAGCACTAGGCGCGAGAGAGCTGCGTGAGCATGTGTGTGCGTGCCTGGGGGAGAAGGGACCAAAAGAAGGGTTAGGGAAGGGGGATGGGATKATGAAACAAGGGGGCAACCGAGGCATCCTGACCCGCCAAAAAGCCCGAATGGCACAGAGGCCGGAGGAAGCGAGACAGCGGCGGCCAACCCTTTGGCAGATGCTGGATACTCGGCTTTCCAAGATCTGAAGGGCCAGAGCGTGGAGTTAACGGAGCGGACCGTAGTTGGGAAAAGGGAGCGAGTTGCTGCTGGAGTTGAGAAATTTGGGGAATCCGAGAAAACAGGCGCAATAAGTTGCTGTGTCTCCTTTAAACTGTTTTCACTCAAAAATGTAAAGGATCAGAGACCATTTTATTAGCACCTATTACTGAAGCCTTAAGGACCGTCCCGGCCAGTTGTGCATCTGTTCGTGTTACACCAGCACCGCTGCAGAGCGCGGGCCCGAAGCTGTGCAGCTACTACCCTTACCGGCAGACGCGGTTCGGAGCCCGCTGCTGCCATCTGCCGGCGGAAAYGGAAGAGCGAAATAGGCTGGCCCTGCTGACTGCCCCTGGGGCCTGGATGTTTAGCATACTAGTACCAAGTTTCTTTCATTGCTGCAGGCACCTACTAAAGGCATTCCTAATTTTGCTRGGAAGTGAAGACTTGGTGTCGTGATCCCCTAGGGAACTGAATCGTTGGAATGAAGTGCAGCGAGTCAAGAGAACAGACCTTAATAGAAACCATCTTCCCAGTTCCCCTTTTAGGAGATTAAGACTGATGAAACTGCATCAAGCAAGGAGCTTTCCATAAAATGTGATTGTCCCTACTGAAAGGAAAAAACAATGACATTTGTGTAGGATATATTTATACTGGGAACCACAATAATAATCCGAAATGATTGTTTCTGTTGAATAAATATTATGGACATATCAGAATGACTAAATAGTAAGAGATTGAATAGGGCATAGAGACTCTATTTTCCAGAAATCTGAGCTGAATTTTCAGAAATGATTTGTTGATCCTGGAAAGCCAAAAAGCCATTTGTAAATGGGCTTTTATGAAAAGTTCATTCACTGTTTAATGAAATTCCAAGAACCCACTACATGCTGTTACCCACTGCCCTGTCTGTCAGGTAACAGGTATTCCACAACCTTGGGTGAAACTGAAGCCAAAGGAATCTAGTAGCAAATGTTTCTTTTAGTTGTTATTATACAGTCTTTAGCTATTAGCTGCTTAAGGCCTGCTGAGTTGCAGGTATTTTGCATCACCAAATAAGAAAGCTGTAAGCAACTGCTGAATATTGAAGAAGTTGCTACCATATTGTAAAAAGAATTCTATTGTTTTTTTTAAATTTTATCATAGCAACAATGCATTTGTGTGGATCCATCCATAATCCTGCAATGATTTCCCTTCATCCAGCAATATCCAGAGTAATGTTTAAGGCTATACAGGTAAAAGGATATCATAATGCTAACTGTAGCTGTCAGTTTTCCACCTGTAGTCCCTGGACTATAATCTTTTGGTACATGCCATCCTTCTCTTTGTAAACAGGTCCTTTTTGTAAGCACAGGAAGTGCTTGTCTGGGAAGTGAACACCAACCTTCAAGCAGAATGGCTAAGAGTTGATGAATAAGGACCTCTGCTTTTTCAATCCGTAGATGGGGAACCCCAAGACATAGTCTGGTCTATACCATTAACATCCCACTAAGATTGAGTCCTGCTYGTCTTGCACTCTGAATTGTCTTCCTTCCCTTCCTTGCCTCATTTCCGTATTCCTCTACCAGTGCTCCCTGGGCACTGGATTCAAAATAATCCATTTGCACTCTTGAGAAATCCAACATAAGGCCATCTCCAAGGGCTTTTATTCCTAAACTGTCATTGTTACAGTATTCTTAGAAAAGTGAAACCACAAATATGATCAAAATGTTGAGCATTTACTGTATGCATTGACTATCACTGCTAAAACTCCATCATCTTTTCTTACATACAATGCCTATTTTAAAGACATAGACACTAAGAGAAAGCAAGTATCTTGAGTAGAAGAACACATATTCTAAGTGGCAAAATTATCAAGTTTGAAGGCACATCTGTAGGATACCAAATTTCACTTTCCAAACCACTGGGTTATCCTCCTTTATAGATATTTTACTAACTTATTCGTTATTCTTTTGAAATTCCATCAAGAGATACTAAGAATATTTAGAGGAATGATCACATATTATCTTTAAAGTAAATTTACATCACATCATTTACAGTATAGATAATGTCTGACTTAAGGAAAGGTGCCCTAGTTTGGGATGCAGTTCCATTCCTTAAGGTGACTGTGCCCTTCTCGTTCCATTTCCTGTTGTCCCTGGAACTGAGTTCCTTAATGGAAGGAACATTAATCATGACTGAGAGAATCGCAATTGTTCCATTGAAGTGCATGGAGGGGAGAGATGTCTCAAATTGGAATGTGGATTGCCTTTTCATTTAGAAGGGCATGAACTATTTAGGTGCTAAAGGTTTTATTGACTAGTCTGGTGACATAACTATTGTTAATTACCTTATTTTTATAGGGAAAATGTGTTACATATCTCATATCTCCATCTGGCTCACCTTGGCTTTCAAGTACTTTTCAAGGTTGTTTCACACTTAGTATCTCACTTATCTTTCAGGACAACTCATAGACTGCAGTAAGTACACAGCAAGAGTGTTCAACACCCAGTTCAGCTGGAGCAAAACCTCAAGCCTTTCTYTGCAAAAACTCCACTGAGCAATTACTCTTTTGAGTTTTACTAGTCTCCATSCATCATAGTTTAAAAACATAACTGCAACAATTATACTAATAAGAAAAAACAACAAATTTAATTTATTTGATATTTTATATAATCTTAGATGTTTTTCCTTGTTTGAATAATAATAGCTAATAGGAAAATAGAGTATTTTTTTAAATATTGATAGCAAATAAGAAGAAAATAATCATTCAATCCTTCTGCCCCGTGGTATATCCCATCATTTTTATACAAATCTTTTTATAAAAATAGGATTATAATGTTCCTAATATATTTTATTCTTTTTKTTTACAATGGATCAAGAACAGATATACAAATTATTAAGTATTAAGTTCATGGACTCTGCAGCTGGAAAATTTGGTTTCATAATCCAAGCTTGGCCATTAGCCAAGAGTTGCTTTCAATATTTCAATAGTACAAATTTTATAATACATAAATCTGCAGTTATGTTTTTGCCTGTATTATGATAATTTCCTTATGATGAATTTAAAAGGAACTTTTAAGTCAAGGAAAAGAATAAAATTATAAGGCTATTGATCAGTAGTACTCAATTCCTCAGAAAGGTTTCTATCAATTTGTACCTGTAGGGAATGTACTTTGCTCTTTTCCCTAAAAACCTTACAAATAATAAATATTATAATTTCTTAATGATAATATTTTAAAACATTAAATATTTTCTATTTTGTCTTAATTTGCATTTCTTGTATACAATAACTATTTATTTAAAAACTTCATGAATGTGCTCAAGTAGACTGTGTCCACCAAACTTATCATATTGGCTCACCTTTCTCTGATGATTTCTCTTGGAAGTTCAATTCATTTCTGAATAAAATTGTGCAGTGACATATTGTATAATATAGAACCATGGCAATAAAAATCCATTTATCTATTTGACCAAATTATCARCCTTCAGAGAAAACTCTGAAGAGATGTTAAGCCAAGATGACAGATTATGACATTAAAAGAACCAGTGTTGTACTTATGATCAATGCCTGATCAGATTTTTTTTATGAAACATTTGGATTTTATCCTTCTAAATTAATGACTTTAACTTGTAATTTACATACATTTTACTGTTAATATCAAGTAGAGTGCATAAATGTACAGGTTGAGCATCTCTTCTGAAATCTGGAATGCTCCAAAATCCAAAAATTTTCTATTACTGGATGATGCCACAAATGGAAAATTCCACACCATGGAACTGTTTCATGCACAAACTTTTTAAAAATATGTTTATAAGATTCATATGGAACATAAATGAATTTATGTTTAGATTTCAGTCCAATTCCCAAGATATCTCATTATGTATATGCAAATATTCAAAAATCTGAAAAAAATACAAAACACTTCTGAGTCCCAAGCATTTTGGATAAAGGATATTCAATCTGTACTTGGATCTTAGTCCCCATTTTCTGGCAATTGTTTTCATACATTATGTTGAATATTTTCAAAATTTCAATCATATTTAATATGGGTTATTATAAGTATGCCAATATAATAATTTTATGAATATATAAACCTTGGTTAACTTCAGTAAATTATCTCAGAAAACCTACCATTTTACAAGTAGAAACATGTCAAAAGAAAGCTATGTATTAGTTTTTTCCCTTTTCCTCTAATCTGTGCTGATTTTTTTTAAACATGAAGAATTGA